AGATACCCCCAAATTTTTTTTTTTTTTTTGGGGGGGGGGGCGCTAGGGGGGTTGGAAATCAAAACCTGTGAATCTCAATCTCTCTAGAACGAAGAAAGATATCGAGGTCCGGTTTGGACGAAAAATTGTCTAAATTGCATACTTTAAGATTCTACAGGTCAAAATCCCGAAATCGGGTTTTTAAGTTAACATATATTCTTTTTTTCAGTTATTGAGTGGAGAAAGTTTCTTTTAAACCAAGAATTTACAAAGTACTCAATTTTATATTTTGAGTGTATACCATTATGAGTGCTGTATTGTTTTTTGTTTTGATTTCCTCAATTTTTCTGTTTCTTTGATTGTTCATTCTCTGTCCAGATGTTTTCACAACAGACAAGATTCCAGTCTTCTCCTCAGCTTTTAATCAATTAGAACCACCTCTTCGTAATAGTGAATGGAAAGTCAAAGTCAATGATGTGGTCTCCTTAAATAGATTCTATGCCCATTTGCCTTCGCACATGACCCGTAAGTTTTTTCTGTGATGTTTTTATGTAAAGTTGTTGTGTACCACACATCTTTTTCAGTTTTCCTCTACATGATCCTAAAATCTGCAAGTAAAATATGTGTGCAGTTTTTCCTTGCCCATCTGAAGTTGCAAAGAACAGAATTACTCCTTTTCTTCTTGTTGATGATTCTGTAGAGAATGCAGTAAATCTGATCATGAAGTATCTATCAGCCCTTGAACAAGATTGCACTCAATTAAATGATGGAGTCAATGCACCTTACTTTCTCACTACAATCATGATTCAATGTTTAAATAAACAATTTCATTATGTTTACCTTGTCTTTGGAAGTGTAGAATGAATTATTCTGGAAAGTTCTAAAAAATTGAATCAGTGAGGTAAAACAAGACCGACAAAAATTGATTTAGAAATTTTGGGACCTTCTCCTATCATTTATTGAGGTGTCATCCAATTGGTTTTAACAGAAACAAGATCCCTAATTGCACGAAATTTTAATGTTGAAAAGCAAGAGCTTATATAGAAGTGTAAAAAATCTGACAGGTTTTGTTACTGTAGAAGCCCTTGATACTTCAGCAGAACTTATCACTCACACCTAACCTTTTAATTTTGGCTTTGTTATATCACATTTTCAATTGAATACAGTACACAGTTTCAATAGTAAGTTTCTTGTCAAAGCATTCAATTTGACCATTCTTTATTTCAGGATTGCATTTGGGTGAAGGTGTACACATGGATCTCAGCAATTTGCATGGAGAATTAAATAATCCAACTCATGCAAGATGTTTCAAACGTGTAACAATAAAGCCTGCTCCTGGAGAGTTGGTGCTAGCCAAACATGATGATTACTGGTATCGTGCTCGTGTCCAGTTCAGTGATGAGAACAATGGAAATTCATTTAAGGTAATGATATCATAACTCCTCAGTAATTTGGTGGAAAAAAATTAAATATTGATTGTTAATTGACTTATTTTGTTTCATGCTCCATGAGGATTTTAATTTTTGGAAAACTGAAGTATTGCTCAAGAACTCGAGATATCTTCACTTAATTTTTAATGGCCATAGATGTTCACAGTGTTTCAAAACTTCCGGAAAGTGTACCTAATTTGCGGTGTTTCAAAATCTCCATTCTCATTTTATTTTATCATAGTAAAACAAAGCAATGCAGTTGATTTAAATTTTCACGAAATATTTTTCACTTAGAGAAAAAAAAACTAGAAAAGTTTTAAAAAAATGATGACAAGTATTATTTTATTTAAAAAAATGAAGTATGGCAGGAAGTCTGTAAGGTTGCAAACCAAGGCCTGCATTCCTGCAGTTTCACTGTAGGTATGTTTTTGCTGACTCTAGTTGTTATCAAAAATTTTTATCTGTAGAATTATTCAAGGCAAAAAATTGTGCTTTTTTTTTCTTCCAAAACTTTGATACATTATTGGTGACCTAGTACTAAAGAAGTCAAGTAAAGAGTTAAGAATATGTGCCAAATCAGCCAGTTGCTAACTTCATTCTGGTGTCTTGAGCATCACCGTGTTAGTTGGAATCTCAGAAAAAGCTGGAGAATTTCTTGAAAATCTGATGGTGCTCAGTGATCCAAGGGAAGCAATATTTCAGAACCTTTGGTCAAAAGATTCAAAGCTTTTTTCTTTTACAAGCAAGTATTAATAACGAAACAGTCACAAAGTCAATTTTTAAAAATCAGGAGCTTATTATTATACACGTACGGTGTCAATAAGCGCAGGTTATTCAGATTTATATTATTTTTAAGAGATATGGTTCAAATAAAATTGTTTACCTCCAAAAAGAAAAATGGCTCAATCAATAAAGGCGCATCTCTATGGGAATTTGTTTTATTAAACAAGGTTAACGACAGTCTGGAAAATCAGAGAAAGTTAGGGAATTCATGGCGACCAGAAGACTGGAAAAGTTTGAATTCATAGGAAAAGTCAGGGAATTTCATTATTAGAATTTAATAGTAGAGATTGTAATCATCACAGAAAAAATCCAAGCGCTAATTTATTTCGAATGTCAGGGAATTCCAAATTTGGGAGTCATGCAAAAGTCAGGAAATCGAATTATAATGAATTTATAGAAACCCTGTTTGATATGGGGGGTCAAAAAATGATTCGAGTTTTTGATAGGAGACACTTTCTGTTATTTCAAATAGTTAGTAGTGATTGGTTTTGTTTATTTTTGAATTAGGGAATTCATAAGTGATTTTTTTTTCTCTAGGTTTTCTTTGTTGATTGTGGAACTACAGCTGATGTATCTTTGGTAGATCTCCGTCAAATGGATGCCGCATTTCTCAAGTTACCCTTCCAGGTTAGTGATTGTACTTCTTTCACTACTCTTGTTCTACTTTTCAACGTCCAATCACTTCTCTACCCAGGTGGCTACAGTGTGGATCACTTTCTGTTGTCCCAGACCAAAACAGTTCTTGTGGCAAGTCTTCTCTGTGGCATTTATTGCCCTGCTACCAAGCAATTAGAACACCATCCGCAGGTCTTAGATGGAACTAATTGTTAATTTTGTGTCATTAATGTAAACAAATGGCAGTGCTCGTACATATTGCAGTTATCTGTGGTATTTGCTGTTTTCCCCCTTCATGATTTTTTTTGTAGTGGAAACACTTGGTCCAGTCATGTATGTAGACGCTAGGAAGGAAGTTGTCATATCTTTCGCCTGAAGTTCGATGAATTGCTCTCCGCTCCTAAAGCAAACTTTGCATGTTTTCATACTTGAGTGAAAGAGATCAGTTAGATGACAGGACAGCCAAGTCAGCATAGCATGTGCTGAGTAAGCTTGTTTCCACCACTGATGAGGTGCCCCATTTGCAGAGATGATCGCAAGATGGTTCGTAAAAAAAAAAAAAAAAAAAATAATAATTACTCTTACATGAGGAGGATTTTCTCTACAAAATTAATCTCTCAAAAAAATAATTTGTTCTTTAACCAAGAAAAGTGACCATAGCCGCTCAGATTCAGAATAATTTACAGTAAATATGTTGTAAACACTGCATATTTTTCAAAATGATGCCTCTTTGACACATGTTTTTTTTTGAGAGCGGATGGAATAATGTGAAGTCTTTTGAACAATTCAGTCAGCAAGTGAGAGTTAATACTGACACTAATATAGACACAGCAGCTCTCTTGCGGATGGCGCTCTGTGAAATTTTGGACCTGCGTAGAGAGGAGGTGGGTTCAGAAATTTTCACTTTTCTAGAGTTCTATTAAGCCAAATTTAAACATTTATAGCGCATCAGGAAGCTGAGAGTAGTGGCTTTTCAACGCTTTATACCAATTTCCTTTATCTATCTTAATTTACAAGTTATTGAATAGATGAACTCACTTTCTGGACGACCCTCGTACTGTTCTACAGTGAAATGTTTGTCTGCTTGTGTACTTTGAATGAACATAATGTCGGGTGGAGTTGAGGTATCCATTCTTTAACAATTTATTTTTGTCCTTCTTTTCAGGCTGTACTTTGCATAATCACGAATATTATCCCAATGGAGGGTCTGAGCCAGCAGGATCGTGATAATGGAGTGGCCTTTCTGGATGGCCTCTTAGCCGATGGCAAACCCTTAGTCAAAGTCATTGGATCGTAAGTTTTTTTTTTNGGGGGGGGGGGGGTCTGAAAAGTGATGTTTTCCTTAAGTAATTAATCTAATGCTCCAGTTTGCGGTGCATCCCTATAAGGCTATAAAACAAGGAAATCTGAAAAATTCTGGGAAAAAACTTACCCTCAATTGTGCATGAAACTTCGGAACGTCAGAGTTTCAATTCTTTTTATCTCTCTATTTACTAATGTACATAAGAAGAATTGTTTAATAATACACATTAGTTATTAGAGAGGTAAGAAGAATGGACCACTGAACAAAGTACAATTTTAAGCATTCTGGTGTAAGGTCTCTTATCAAAATTTCCGGTAAAACGAAAATTACTGAAAGTAGTACATAAGTAAGATATTAACGTTTTTCGATGCATAGATTCAAACTTCTCACCCATAGAATAAACAATAATCTATCGAGTTAAATCGCACACTGAACGTTACCATGACAGGTTTTGTAGGATGAAAGTCTGACACCCTCAATATCAACTCATCGGCTCAGCTACTGCACGTTATTTACACCTTGAATGATGAAGGGTGGGGAAGAGACTCAGCTCATTGAGAAGCCTGCCAAAACCGTCTTAGTGCGCAATTTGATTCAAGTAGATTTTTGTTTTTCTTGTGAGCAGGAAATTCAAATTTTTGTAACCAATGCTAAATGAAAGGCTGATGCAGTCAGGGAAAATCGGGAATTGTCAGGGAATTTTAAATAGTCTGGGATAACCGGTAAATGTCAGGGAAAATTTGTTTAATCACCTTTATTTGCTTTCCAGAATGGGTTTAAAGTTTGAAAAACATATTTAATTTTGCCTGATAACTACTTTTAATCATGTCCTCTTAACCACCTGTCATATCTTTAATTGTCAGGGAATTTCACCAAAATGTGTCAGGGAAATCAGAGAAATAACAGGGAATTTGATCTTTTACATTCGGTGGTAACCCTGTAAATAAAAATGTTAATATCTCGGTTCGAAATTGATTTTAGTAATTTTTTTTGTTCAAATCGTTTTGTACAAGCGGCAACATGGATCAAAATGCTTAAATTCATATCTTGTCCAGTGGTTCATTGATTTAATAATTCAAAGTAGTTAGTGGAGAGATAGATAGAATCACCCTGATACAATAGAAAAACTCTGCAAAAGTAGTTATTTTTTCATTTATACTTATGATTGTACCTATACTTTTTTAGGAGTTCTCTTGTAAAGACTCAGCCAATCATGTTTCAAAATCAGAAGTTCAGTCCTGAAGCAACCATTGCACCAATTTCTTTTACGAAAATCACAAAATATATTTTGCTCAGACTTTGCAGAGTCTTTGTTCCATAGATTGTTTTCTAATAATCTCTCTTCATCATCAGTGAATTTTTCCATTTGCAGTACCCTTTTTTGTCCCCACTTCTTATGTAGGATCTGCCTATAAAAATTTACAGGCAGGCAACCCATATTTTCCACTCTCAAATTTCAATAGGGAACATAAGAGAGCTCTTAGCATGGGTCATTCTCATGTATGATAGCGATGATTTATGATGATTATCATCTACATTTAATATTTTTTTCTCTTTTACAGGGAGCCAGGCGATATACTTACTTTAGAAGTTCTAGTCAAGACTAAGGACAAAGACGTTGGAGATGCCATGATTGAAGCAGGCTTTTGTGATTTCAAGGAAATAGTTCCCTCTAAAAGCTCCTCCTCAAAGGTACCAATACCAGGATAGTGTCAGCTCAGAAAAAAGGAAATTACTTACTTTCAAAATGAACAAATAAATAGAAGAAATAGTATTATATAGCTGACTTAGATGGCTCAACACTCTTTTAAAATTCTTGAGTGGGAGTTGTGAATTATTTCATCTTTTTTTTTTTTTTTTGGTCGATGGTTGGACCATTTTACTTTAGCACTGCCACTAGTCTTGTGTATATAAAATTGGCCCAAAAATGAGTAATCCAAACTGTTCCTTTATTATAAAACATGCTCAGAATTTTTATACAGTAATCAAAACATTTTTGTCCATGTGTTTGTTAAAAAAATAAGGAAAGAAGAAAACAAATTGAAATGGTTGCTGTTTCATAACAGCTTTTAGCACCTATCTCTCCTGCCTATGTACTTATGTAATGGCCTTTTTGAAGTAGGATGGCAAAGGGCAATGTTCAAGCACTTACAGTTTTTTTTCCTCCAATACTCGCCTTGGGAGGCTAGTCAACTGCCCTTTGCAGGGTTTTTTTCTTAATCTTTTTTCTTCTTATTTAATCAATTTATATGTATAATACGTAACATTCAAGTTTATTTTTATACTGAGAATTCCATGACTAAAGCCAATCCCTTTTTAATACTCCTCAAAAGGCAATGGTCTCTCAAGATCTGATCTCAATTTTAAGAAGATTCGTCTCTTTCAAAAGCAATGATTTCAATATTTCTCAATTGCAAACAAAGGAATAAATGGGTCAGTTAGAACTCAGGTTTCTGCAGACATATATCCTCTCATATCTAAAGTCTAGTAATGGATATTGGAATTTCTGCAATTTTTTGCGAATGAAGATCACACACCTGTTCAATTAACAATGAACTTTCAGATGAGATTGGATCAAACTCCAAAAGACGGCTCTGTAGATTATTGCTGCAGATGTTAGGATAACTCACATTACTACCCTAACATTGTGATAAAACTCTCTCCTTTTTTTGGATAGATAATAAAATTCATAGCCACTCAAACATGAAAATACCACATTTAATCGGAAAACCACCTGTCCGCATGTCAGTTAAATTCTGCATTGTTTTTTGTGCAGCAGTTTAAAGGATTTAAGCCTCAGCTGCATGTTATTCGTATAAACCGCAGTTGTAAGAAGAGAAAAGAGGGAAACAAAAAACTAAGAGAAATAAACAAGTTATAGAAGAAAAACCTGAGGAAGGAACATATGAAACTTAGCATGTAGATGAAGACTCAGAAAATTAAAACACAATGTTCAGGAACAGCATTCTCAAGTGCTGCGCGTGGACACAGTTATGCTCCTACATAAGTCTGCAGGCAGTGGAGACTCGTTTTCTTGACAGTTGTGAAGCAGCAAAATTCCAGGAAGTTTTTTTTCCTCTTTTTTCATAGAGTCTTTTGCTGAAATTTTTGATCAGTAATTGACGATTTTGGGATTATTTTATCATTTTTTGTGAAACTCTCAGATTTCAAGTGCCTCTTAGTTTGAAAGAAAGAAATTGACCTTGTAAATGGAGGATTCGATCATCTCAATTTTCATGTTTTATCAAGAGATCTGTATCAATTTTAAATTTATATGTGCTCCAATTTTAAGGGTCCTAGATTCTCATGCTTTAAGTGAGTTCACCCTTGATGATAATTACTGTACTCTCAACTAAAGTGAACATTTTCCGTCCACAAATCTTGTCCTACAAATGAACATCTCAGCAATGCCCCTCAGCTTTAAATCATTTTAGTTAAACTTAAAAAGTCACTCATATTGGTGCTAAACACAGAATAAATTGCAACATTTGTAAGATAAACTAAAATTTTCTGTAAGATTTTTGTAAAATGTTTGTCGAAAGTTACTAAAGTTAAGTTACAAAATACTCAAGAAGTGCACAGCAGCATTTTTACGTAAAAAAGAACAAGAAATGTTGCCTAACTCACATATATTAACAGTTTTTCTCAGAGTTTTCCTCTTGAAATTAATGAATTTTTAAACAGCCATTGCTACTAAGGTCATTATCGATGCTTTCATCAATCCTCATGTGGTATTTAAGTAGCCTTCTGAAAGATCTGTTGCTTTAAAATTCTTGACATTTCAAATCCAATATTATGGTAATGAGCATAACAGTGGTACTTGTACCTAGCATTATTGAACATTAAAATGGGCGTATTTGTAAGAATTTGTATTTATTTCTATAAAATGGGCATATTTTTCATTGAGGGGTTGATCAATAGTTTATCCTATTTCAAATGGGAGCTTTATTCTTGTGAGTTTGCTGGAATTAAATGACTGATAGTGATGTAATACTTGTTTAAATACACATAAAGGTACCTCTCCTGCAGGAAAAATGATGGAGTTATCAATTTAGCATTACAGGAGAATCTTAAATTTTAAGGATTAAAAAATGATCCATGGTCTTCAAAAGCCAAGACGCATCGAGTTGCAAATTAGAATACAATGTTATCGTTTCGGAAACATTGATTTTTATTTTATTGTATTTATTTCTTTCAGTATGTACTTATTTTTGGTAATTTTTTATTTTTCCTACAAATTTCTTGAATTGGTTTTTCCAATAAAGATGTGGGGTGTTCAATCACAACAAGATAATATGACAATATCAGTGAAATCAATTTTTCAAGGTTTGTGATTATTTACCTTAGTTTCCTCATAAAATTTCACCCACAGCTCTTCTAGACTTTTTCCAATTTTTTAAGTCAGTGCAAGTATCATGACTTTTCGGTTTATTATTTATGTTTTGTTGTTTTAATTTTTCTCATCTGTTCTTTATTCTCTAAGTATTAATTTTTTTCTCTAAAAAATTAATAGTCACTTATTTTTTATAGATATATTTATATTAAGGCTACACACTTTCATTCATTCTAATTATGTATGTTAATTTTACTATAGAGTTATATTTTATGTATGGTTTTCTTAAATTCATTTGTCTCTTTAAATTATGTAAGTATGTATTTTAGCACCTACCAGTCAAGACAAGTTGTACCTAAGACTTGGTATCAAATATTGGACTTTAGCACAAGAAAGTTTAATCCTTAGTGGAAGATTCTGAACTAATATTACCGAGATATAATGCGATATTGTTTTCTCATCTTTTGAATTGTGTTTAAGACATGTAAAGAATCCTCCTGTCCAATGCAAATTATCATACACCAATGAGTGTCAACTTAGTACAAATATTTGTATGATTTTGTTTCATGCAAGTGAAAAATTTTGTACATGCATATTGTTCTCGTATGCCAATAAATCTCTATTTTGATAATTTCTATTCTCTCTATTTCTCCACCCACAATCGCTCCCAGCTTTCTCGGAAACTTGAAGTATTTAGTTCCATCATTGCTACTTTCAGTCGGTTTTTGGAGATACTTTAAACCCTCTCCTCCAGAAAATGTTACTTTCTCCAAGTTATACCTGAAATTTACACATCTAATTACACACCTGATGTTTACATCAGATGATGATGAATTAATGACTTATGTAGGTATCTTTGTCTTCTAAATTGCTGTAGCTTATTGTTTTGTGACTGCAATATGCTGATTAGAACTTAGATTTAAATTTTCCTCTACAGACTGCCAGATTTGCTGCGCCTTTTGCAAACTGTGTTCGTTAAAAGAGAGGGCAAAATGATCCCAGTCGGTACCAGGGATACTTTGTTTCGCCCATTATCCTCTTTCTGAACGGTAAAGGCTACAAAATTTGGATTTAATCATTCTATAATGTTTAGAGCAACTTTCAGTATGTTTGGTCTATAACTGAAGACCATGTTTTGTGGTGAATTTTTAGATGAAACATGTGATGGCTTTGTACCCAAATTTGAGGTCTTTTTGTGAGATAAACATGGTAATAAAAGTTGTTAAAACTCCCTTGAAAAATAACCATCAGATCAATACATACACTACTACTCTTTCCATAAGCGTGAGACTCCAGCAAATCAGATGTGCGATTTTTCAACAAAATTCTCTCTGTATTCACTTAAAAGTCTTTGGAACTAAACATCTTGACCTCCAGTTATGATTGAAAAGGTACTCTAGTTGCCTGTTAAATTCATGTCTGTGCTCCGGGCTCTAAATAGGCCTTTGGGAACACATCAATCCAAACATGAAGGTACATTGTCTGTGCTTCCTGAGTACCTACAATACTTTCCTTACAGCAGGAATAAAACATGATGCAACAAGAGAATATAAATTTATTCAAAGCACACTAATTTTATTAAAATTTAAGGAATAAGCTAATACAAATATGTCAGTTGCATGGCTAATTGTGTACGACACACTTCATGCACGCTGGGCTTGTCGATTTCCTTTGACATGTTTGCAGTGGTGAATGCATATAGCTGAAGTGCGCTCCAGCTAGAATTGTATTTAGCAAATGGGTGGTTTTTATAGGAGGATTATAATGAAACAAGTGGTTAAAAATGGAAACAAAAGAATATGAACTATGCCAAACGATGATCCGGGTATCGGAACTTGGCTGTTTTGAAAACGCCTTCAAATGCGGCGTGATACCTCACGCATTCCGGAGAGTTCAAATAGTTGTATCATTGCGCCGTAAGAATATGACGGAAGATTTAAATGGAAATAGCCTCCATGCACGCTGGGCGTGTCGATTTCCTTTGACATTTTTGCAGTGGTGAATGCACAGCTGAAGTGCGCTTCAGCTAGAATGGTATTTACAAATGGGTGGTTTTTCTACGAGGATTAAAAATAAACAAATGGCACGGAATATAACAAAAGAATATGAAATATACAAAACGATAATTCGGGTATCGGAACTTGGCTGATTTGAAAACGCCTTCAAATGCGGCGTGATACCTCACGCATTCCGGAGAGTTCAAATAGTTGTATCATTGCGCCGTATGAATGTGACGGAAGATT